CTTAGCTATGGTTCAGTTGGAAGATTTCTCCAGTGCTGTGCCGCGAGCGCGAGGTCTGACTTTCCCGGAGAAGTGTCGCCTCTCTCGCCGTCTGTTCTGTGCAGTGAGCGGCAGAGAAGCACCGCAGCCGACTCCTCAATAAATGAGTACCTGACGCTTACTGATCGTTAGAAATTATAAATATGAGCGCAGTTCGTCTGTTAATATCACATGCACTTTTTTTAGTTTGTTACTCAGACGCAGGCAGTGCGCTGCATGAGACAAAGTTTTATCAGACGATGCTGTGATTATAAATGAGAGTGACTCCTGGTTAACATGTATTAAAAGGGGTCGTGTTTAGTCACTATTTAGTGTGGTATTTTCTGACAATATTCACTCATCATGACAGTAAAATAGGGCATTCTGAGTCAATATACTGCAGTATTTCCTCTCAATCAGTAGAAGATATGCTTAACACCCGCTCATGCATGAAAAAACAAATACCGTCATGTACCGTGAAACCGTATGATTTTGGAAAATACCGTGATATAAATTTGTGGTCATATCGCCCAGCACTATTTCACACTAGAGCTTTTGGTGCAAACCCAGTGTAAAAGCTGTTTTCTGAACTCAGATTCAAAGCAGTCAGTCAGAGTCAAGTCCAGGAGAAAATGCTGGTCTGGAATATCATTCAATCACAGTTAGGATGAAAGAAATCTGGCACAATTTGTGGAAATGAACTGCCATTGATTACTGTAGAGAAGAAAAAATCATTGAGACCACTTGAAAATTCTCAGTTTGTCTGGATTTATGAGTCTGAGTAAAAAAAAATTAGTTTTATTCTGTAAACTACTGACGACATTTCTTCCAAATTTTAAATAAAAATGAGTAATTTAGAGCATGAAATGACAATTGGTCAAAATTATGTTTAAATAATTTCACACAATACCAATCTTTGAACTTCAGAAGAGTTCAGAAATCAATATTTGGTGGAATAACCCTGATTTTCACTCACAACAAATGAAAACATTTGTTATTTTGACCAATTAAAAAAAGAGCTTTAAATGACATATATATATTCAGAGACCAGATATAATTTTTGATATTTGTTTACTAGTGGGTGCAGGACACTATAGTTCATTTATGTAAGTGAGGATAGCTAAATAAAGTAAACTGTGATATATTATACCCACAATTCTTCATACAGTGGACTACCAGTAAAACTGATACAAATTTGGGACCAAAAATTATTCAGACATTATATATATATATATATATATTATTATCTAACATTATCAAGCTGAATTAGTTCTGACACAGTGTAACTCTGAGTTCTTGTCATATTTTATTACCATCTTCTAAACTATAGCGAATAAACTGATAATGTGAGAAACGTTGAAGGTGTCTGAATACATTTTGGTTTGACTTATATATATGTCTGTATATATATGCCATTCATTTATGTATAATTAGCGCATATATATATTAGTGCTGTCAAACGATCAATCGCATCCAAAATAAGTTTTGTTCACATAATGCATGTAAGTGTACTGTGAATATTTATTATGTATATTTAAATACAAACACATGCATGTATATATTTAAGAAAAATATGTTATGTTTATATATTAAATATGTATATATAAGAATATAAATGTATATACATGTAAATATTTTCTAAATATATACTGTATGTGTGTGTATTTATATATACATAATAAATATGCACAGTACACATACATAATGTAAATAAAAACGTTTATTTTGGATGCGATTGATCGTTTGACAGCACTATATATATATATATATATACACGTACAGTAGATAAATAGGTAGGTCTAATTCTATAAACAGCATTAGTTCGGTGAGTTTGATGAAGGGCAACTTCTCTCTCGGTCCTGTAGGAACTGTGGGAATGTTTTCTGCACTAGCTGCTGCGACCAGAAGGTGACGGTGTCGAGTCAGAAGCACGTGTGTCAGGCGTGTTACGTTCACCTGCGGCCCTCCGCCGTCCCTCCGGCGCTCCCCCCCGCCGAGCTGGAGCTGGAGAAACCCATCACCGCCAGCTCCAACTGAACAAACCCACTCGACCGAAACGAGCTTACTCGCTCAGAACGACTGGCTTCTGTGCAACACTAAACCAGATGTTTAGCATCTGGGCTCGGAGTCAAATTTCTTACAATTCGAAGTTGTTCAAAAGTGCAATTCATGGAAAAAAAATGCAACTGTTTTCTTAAGAACCTCTTATTTTTTTCTTAAGGGGAGACACTGCGGGGCAAAAGCACTGGGTTTTTTTCACGCACCTGTCAATTTTCAGATCTTATAGTGTTTTTTCAGACTAGCGGAAAGAAAACATGTTAAGTGTTTCTTTTATAGCACTTGATCTATTTCTGTCAATACATATTTTTAAAGGCCGTTTTCTTAAAAATGAGTTTTTCTCCCACACGGAGCCATGAATCTGCACTTCAGCAGCACTTACACACACCAAGCGTTACATTTTTATTCCTATAATCTATATCCTGAAGGTTTTTACAGAGGGATTTGTTCATATATCATTTGCTTGATTATATACAACCCCCCAAAATTGTGAAAAAATAGTTTTCTGGCTGTTCAAAGTATTTTCTGAATTATGGAGTGACAAAAAGAGATAAAAACATTGGTATCTAATATGTAAAATAAATTGACTTCATCCAATGTTCGGATTTTTGTACTAGAAATGTATGCAAATTAGCGCATATTTCATTAAATAATCCCTCATTTGCATATTTAAACATAACATTTGAGAACTTGTAATAGAGAAAATGTTTGCAATTATCAATGTAATCAATCAGCTGGGTAAGTAAGGTGATAATTAGTTCATTTCTTGACCCTATTCACCGGCAGTGTCTCGCCTTGAGAAGAAAATAAGCTTCATTTGTTGTTTTCAGATTGCATGACCTTTCTTGCCAAAAACACCTCGTGCAACACTGTTTTCACTCGGACTCGGCCGGATTCATGAAAACATGCTTAGGAAAGAAGTTCAAACATTTAAGATCAATTCCAAGAAGTTCGGAAGAGTCACAAAAACCTTCTCAAGAGAGAAGTTAAGTCATTAGCGTTTCCAATACGTTTGTACGATTCACTGAAATCGCTAGCGCTTTATTTTACAGTCCTGTTCCACGTGTACATGCTAATTATACAATTACATAACTAGGTGCTAACCCTGAACCTAAACTTAAACCATGCAAGTACACGGAGTTTACACACATTTGAGACCTTTCAAGTGCATACAATTCACGCAGATATCCTTAAGATGAATTTCAACAAGTTTGTAAGATTCGTGAAAATCCTCTTTAAAAGATGAGTTTAAGATATTTGAACTCCGAGAAGCTCGTGAGATTCACAATAATCCTAAAATAAGATATTTCATAAAAATGCTCTTAAATGCAGTTCTCAGATATTTTCTAAATATCTTTTTCTTTCTAAATAAGAAAATGACGGATGCAATCTGCAAGTGTTAATTGGATCGTGTGGTGGTTCTTGCAAAAATCCTAAAAAGTTGAGACATTTCATAATATAGTTCATAATATGAATTCCAGTACGTTTGTAAGATTCATGAAAATCTTCACATTTCTTTAGATAAATGCGTACGAATGTTATTTAAAGCATTTCTTGAATTAATTCAATATAGACGTTTTTTTAATATTTATAAATCATCCGTCTCAAGATACTGAATTCATCTTTATTGCGTTCTCATATGTGCTGATTGCTGCCGAAAATTATCAAATTAAAATGGTGTATGTGAGTGTGTGTGTGTGTGCGTGTGTGTATGTATGTGAGTGAGTGTGTTTGTGTGTATGAGAGAGAGTGTGTGAGTATGTGAGTGAGTGTGAGTGTGTGTGTGTGTGTGTGTGTATGTATGTGAGTGAGTGTGTTTGTGTGTGTATGAGAGAGAGAGTGTGTTTGTTTACGTGAGTGAGTGTGTTTGTGTGTGTGTGTATGTATGTGAGTGAGTGTGTGTATGTGAGTGAGTGAGTGTGTGTATGTATGTGAGTGAGTGAGTGAGTGTGTGTGTGTAAGCGTGAGTGAGTGAGTGTGTGTGTGTGTATGTATGTGAGTGAGTGAAAGAGAGTGTGTGTGTGTGTGTGAGTGAGTGAGTGAGTGAGTGTGTGTGTGAGTGAGAGAGTGTGTGTGTGTGTGTGTGTGTGTGTGTGTGTGTGTGTGTGTGTGTGTGTGAGTGTGTGGTTTAGTAAACGCTGGCCGGATCGGTGTGTGATGGTCTGTGTTTGTAAGGCCTGGTGAGCAGGACGTTGTGCTGAGAGTTTCCTCATCCAGACGGCATCGGAGCAGTTCTTCACTGATGACTCTTACACTGACGACTGATCCCACACCTGCTGGACACACAAACACACATTCATCAAAACCTGTCGCACACAATCTACTGCATTCCTTCTGTCTCTGATTGATAGTTTAGAGGTTTTAATCAAGTCAAAGCTCTCAATCAGCACTGGATTGCGTTGCATTATATGTTTGGATCATTTCTATCTCATCTTACCAAACGCTGGCCGGATCGGTGTGTGATGGTCTGTGTTTGTAAGGCCTGGTGAGCAGGACGTTGTGCTGAGAGTTTCCTCATCCAGACGGCATCGGAGCAGTTCTTCACTGATGACTCTTACACTGACGACTGATCCCACACCTGCTGGACACACAAACACACATTCATCAAAACCTGTCGCACACAATCTACTGCATTCCTTCTGTCTCTGATTGATAGTTTAGAGGTTTTAATCAAGTCAAAGCTCTCAATCAGCACTGGATTGCATTGCATTATATGTTTGGATCATTTCTATCTCATCTTACCGAGACATATTACCGGAGATATAGTGATGACTGATATTTATGGCAGTATACACTGCCGTTTAAAAGTCTGGGATCAGTAAGATGTTAAGTAAGGGATAATGTACATCCAGCCGGTTGTTATCGAAGGAAAACAGACCTCAGAATCAAGTATTCCACAGAGCCGTGTAAATGACATTTTTTAAAGAAGTCACTTCTGCTCATCAAGGCTGCATTTATTTGATCAAAAATACTAAACAGTAAAATTATGAAATATTACTATAATTTAAAGTATGTATTCTATGTGAATATGTGTTAAACTGTAATGTATTTCTGAGATGCGCAGCTGTATTTTCAGCATCATTCCTCCAGTCTTCAGTGTCACATGATCTTCAGAAATCAGTATAATATACTGATCAAGAAACATTTCTGAGTATTGGCAATGTTGAAAACAGAAAAAGAATCCTGAAAAAAGTATCACAGGTTCCAAAAAATACTGTATATATGAAGTTTCCAACACTGATAATAAATCAGCATATTATACTGATTTCTGAAGATCATGTGACACTGAAGACTGGAGGAATGATGCTGAAAATACAGCTGCACATCACAGAAATACATTACAGTTTAACAGAGATTCACATAGAAAACAGATATTTTAAATTGGAATAATATTTCACACTATTAAATTTGTTTCTGTATTTCTGATCAAATAAATGCAGCCTTGATGAGCAGAAGAGACTTCTTTAAAAACATTACAAATCTTTTGAACGGCAGTGTCAGTATCTGCTGTACTGTTATATAAAGATTCACATTGATTTACATAAAAAAAAAAAAAAAACATTACAAGCATCAGAATTTCATCATATAAATATCAGCATCTGCACCAGATTCATATTTTTGCTCAATCTGGGACTCTTAATTAAAATGAGCTGGGTTTTTTTCTCCATTTCCAATAGCCAATACAATTTATAATATAAAACTGTTCCACTGAAAGGGAAGTCATTGATCATGTTTACACTGGTGTTTTTGATGAATCAGAGTCACTCTGAATTTCAAACATTAGACAGCTGCTAAACGTCTCAAATGAGCCTTTAATGCATCATCGTTAGTGTGTGTGTGAGTGTGAGCGTGTGAGAGAGTGTGTGTGAGTGTGTGTGTGTGAGTATGTGTGCGTGTGTGAGTGTGTGTGAGTGTGTGTGCATGTGTGAGTGTGTGTGTGAGTGTGTGCGTGTCTGAGTGTGTGTGCGTGTGAGAGTGTGTGTATGAGTGAGTGTGTGCGTCTGAGTGTGTGTGTGCACGCGTCTGAGTGTGTGTGCGCGCGTCTGAGTGTGTGTGTGTGTGTGTGTGCGTGTGAGTGCGTGCGCGCGTGAGTGCGTGTGAGTGTGTGTGAGTGTGTGTGTGAGTGTG